TGCCCTATCCTGTGCCAACCTCACAATCTCTGACACAGTTGAGCCCACTGCTGCAATTACTGCGCTGATCCACTTGATTGAGGGTCTTCTTCTTCTTTCCCCAAGGAATAGCCTCTTTTAGCAACATGCCCAAAGTATGTGAGACACAGCTTCACCATCCTTGCTTCCAAGGAGCACTCTGGCTTCATCATGTCCAAGGCATATTTGTTATTCTTTTGGCAGCCTTTGGTGTATTCAGTAATTTTCTCAACACCACAATTTAAAGGCATCAATTTTTCTTTTGTCATCATTATTCACTGTACAGCACTCAGATGCACAGCAAAGGACTGAAAAGAACACAGCTTGAATCAGGTGCACTTGAGTCCTCAAACTAACATCATTGCTCCTTGGTAATTTGGAGATGCCCTTGACTGCAGATTTTCCCAGCACAATACATCTCCTGATCTTCTGACTGCTGGTACAAAGTGTACTGATTGTGGATCCAAGTAATATGAAGTTGTTGACAGTTTCAATTTCTTGAAACTGTGAAATTTGAACACGTGTATGAGGTAATTGGATATATCATAGCTTGTGTCAACTCATCTTTTTACTCAAAATGAAATCCTTGTTCTTTGGCACTTTCACAATAAGATTATTTAAAAAAAAATAATTGTAGCAGATTTGCCCTATAGAATACTTCCATTGATTTCCTTACCACTGCGTCTATGAATGTTAAGTGTTCATTCAAATTAAATGATGTCCTTGATGAGTTTAGTATTTTTTTCTGCTTATCATGAATCATGCAGTTGACTGCCTCTTGGTCCAAGTATAGGCTGCATAAATACAATCCAGTGTTCTGGGATTCTCATTTTTCTCAAAGTCAGCTACAGTTTGTTGTGATCCACACAGTCAAATGCCTTTGCAAAGTCAATGAAACATAGTTAGACATTCCTCTGGTACTCCCTGCTTTCAGCCAAGATCCATCTGACATTAGCTTTAATATCCCTAGTTCCACGGCCTTTTCTAAACCCAGCCTGCACTTCAGGCAGTTCTCTGTTGATGTGCTGTTCCAGTTATTTTTGGATAATCTTCAGCACAATCTGTTTGATGTTTTGCTTGTTGACACAATTGTGAGAACTTTTGTTTTCTTAATGTTGAGGTGTAATTCATACTCACAGGAATAGTCTTTAATCGTCATCATCAAGTACTTCAGTTCTTCACTTTCAGCAAGTGATATATGCATATCAAAGATTTTTTTATGAATTTTCTCCAATCTTTATGGCAGCTTTTTCATATAATTAAGTTTCTCAGATTTACTCAGCACACAGACTGAGTAAGTATGGAGCAAGAATACAACTATGACACATACCTTTTCTAGTATCAAACCATGTAATTTCCTCTTGTTATGTTCTAATTATAGTCTCTTTGCCTACATATATGTTTAGCATATACTCTGTAATTCCCAATTTTTAATGTTATTCATGTTATGATCCACACAATTGAACGCTTTATCAGAGTTAAAAGAAACCCCAAACACCCACCAAAACCTCAAATAAACCCAAATAAGTAACATCTTTCTGGTATTCTTTGTTTTTAGCCAAGATATGATGTTAGCAATGATATCCCTTATTCCATGTTCTCTTAAGAATCTAGTTTGAATTTCTGGCCGTTCCTATCAATGTACTATACTGCTGTTGTTGTTATGTGCTGTTGAGTCACCCGTGACTCAGTGAACCTATGTAAAACAGTCCTACACCCTGTTCTATCCTGTGCCAATCTCACTGTCTTTGACACACTTACCCCCATTATCCCAGTTACTGACTCAATCCATCTCATCAAGGTTCTTCTTTTCCTGTGTCATCCTTCTACCCTCCCAAGCATGATATTCCTCTCCAAGGACTGATCTCACCTTGCAACATGTCCAAAACATGTCAGATGAAGCTTCAGAATCCTTGCCTCCAAGGAACAGCCTGGTTTAACCCTCTCCGGGATGAACCTGTTCATTTTCTTAGCAGTTCATTGTATATTTAATACTCTTCTCCAACACCACAGCTTAAAGGCATCATTTCTCCTTCTATCATTCCTAGTCATTGTCCAGCTTTCTGAAGCATAACAAGTGATTGCAAAGGCCATGGCCTGTATCAGGAGCACCTTAGTCTCCAGACTGACATTATTGCTCTTCACCACTTTGGAGATGTCTCTGACAGCAGACTTTCCCAATGGAATTAGTCTTTTAATTTACTGGCTGCTGGTGCCAAGAGTGTTGACTGTGGAGCCACGCAAAACAAAGCTGTTAACAATCTCAATCTCTTCACCATCTCTTCACCATCTGTCATGATGTTGCCAATCAGCCCAGTGGTGAGAATCTTTGTTTTCTTTATATTTAGAAGGTTGCAGTCCTTAACCTTCTGCAGCAAGCACTAGACAATTTATAAGACTATTTAGCAAGCTTTTACTTGTATGTGATATCAGAAACAATGTTTGATAGTTTGTGAATGCTATTGTATTGCTTTTCTTTGGAATGGGCAGGATATGATCTCTTCTACTTACTTGGTCAGATAGCTGTGTAATTTTTCTACTGTGGCATGACTGGTGGATCTTGCCAACTGACTTTTGGTTAGAAGCCCAGTATTTTACATACTAATCCACTAGTTGGAGTTGGTGGAGTAGAGGGGCTCTGATGGCATAGTCTGTAGGAAGCTGTACTGCTAACTCAGGGTGGCAACTTTCTGGTGGTTCAAATCTACTAGCATGTCCACAGAAGAAAGATGGACACCTCAGAATACTTGGTAGAGGCTGAACTATGAGTCAGTTTGTCTTGATGGTAATGAATGAATGGTAGAATAATTTCAGAATGTAGCTTTGATAAAGTATCCAATTCAGAGAAAAGAAATCATAATGTTTGGTGGTGGCCTGGGATGAGCATTCTTAAAAGCTCTAAAGTAATTCTTATCACCAACCAGGTATGCAAATCAAAGAGACCTCAACTTTCAAATCTATCTCTCCAGTGGATCAAGAAGAAATGATTTTTACTAAGAAGGTACATGGTTGTATTCCCTAGCTCAAAAGGCTACTGTGTTCACCCACTGGTACCTTTGATCATTACTTTTTCTTCCCCATTTTTCCTGCCATTAACCTCAGCTGCTGTCTGATTACAACTTTTATCCAAGCTACTCTTGTTGCTTCTTCCAGTGCATGTACTCATTCCCTAAGTGGTTTGGGGCCTTCTCAAAGGCAGGACTTCATAATGGTTGACTCTGGCTCAGATTCAAGTCATGTGAGAGTGGGTACACAACCCACAAACTTCACTTAATGAGGGAATACACAAACAATGACATGTACCTGTGGAGAAATTAACATATAAAAGGGTGCATAAGCAAATATTTTTTTTATTTTGAAATGGCAAGGCATTTGTAGGAGTTCAATGAAGTAACTTTTCGAGGAAGAGAACAAAGACAACAGGAGTTGGAAGTTGAATCTTGGCTCCATTTGAGGTGGCTGATCGGCAATTTATACTTTCATTAACAACTGGAAAGCCCATATAAGAAGTTACTGGCTCTTTGCATAGGTCTGCTTTTATGCATTTCTTCATTTCAATTGCTGTGTTGTTAAAACCTGAAAAAAAATCATAAATGAGACCTACACTCTTCCCCTTCCTAGTCTGCTGTTGGTATGTGCCATTGAGTCAGAAGTGACTAATAGCTGACCCTTCAGCTGGTTTTCAGAGGCTGTAAATCACAAAGAAGGAGACTCCCATCCTTCTTCCTTATATACTTTGTATCTTGCTAGTCTGGAGTCAGATATAATAAAGACTACAATAAAGTTTGTGGCTCATGCAATATAACTCTCTGAAAGAGGCATAGGAATTTTCTCAACGTTATTAAAGCAAAGGGCCACCAAATCCCTGAACCACACAACTAACGATCAATCCAAACTGGGAAATTTTCCTAAATTTTAACTTTTTTCTAACCCATACTATCACTTGGGCTTCTAGCACAATGCCTTTTAGACATTCTATGACCAAAGCAGTAAGAACACCATCCACTTGTTGTTAGAAGGTGCTGAGTAAGACTCTGAGTAACTCTATGAAAACCAGAACTGAACCCTGTCTTATCCTGTGCCACCCTCAATATCTCTGACATATTTGAGCTTATTTCTGAAGTTCTTGCATCAGTCCATCTCACTGGAAATCTTTCTCTCTTGTTGACTCTACCTTTCCAAGCGTGATGTCCCTTTTCAAGGAACAGTTTCACTATTTCCAAATAATAGTCTCACATGCTCAAAATGTATGATATTAAGCTTTGACATCCCTCTCTCCAAAGATGGGCTATCTCCTCCATGATTAATTGTCTTTGAAAACCCACTGGAGAGTCACCCATGGGTTGGTTCTGACTTGATGGTACACAACAACAACAACTACTGCGTTCAGCAAGCAATGTTGTGTTATCTGCATAATGAAAGCTATTGCTGAGTTTCTCTCCAATCTTAATGTCCCATTCTTCTTCAAAGAGACCAGCTCTCAAATGATTTGTTCAGCATAGACTGAATAACCATGGAAAAAGGATACTACTCTGATACCATTCCTGATTTTGAACAATGCAGTTCTCTCCTAGTTGTTTTTGGACAATAACCTTTTGGTGTAGGTATAGGTTTCACATGAGCATAATTTAAGTGTTCTGGAATTGCCCTTTTTTCAATTTTAGCCATAGTTTGTTACGTTCTACAAAGTCAAATGACTTTGCATAATCAATAAAACACAGATAGACACTCCTCTGGTACTCTCTGCTTTCAGCCAAGATCTATCTGACATTAGCTATAATATCCCTAGTCCCATGGCCTCTTCTAAACCTGGACTGCACTTCAGGCAGTTCTCAGTCATTTTTGGAAAATCTAAAGCAGAATCTTGCTTGCATGTAATATCAATGGTTCTGTTTGATAATTTCCGTACTCTGTTGGATCACCTTTCTTTGGAATGGGAACACATACAGATCTCTTCAGTTGGCCAGGTGGTTGTCTTCCAGATTTCTTGGCACAACTTGGTGAGCACATCCATGGTAGTGTCTGGTGAAATATGTCAATTGGTATGCTATCAATTCTTGGGGCCTTGTTTTTTGTCAATTCTTTCGGAGCAACTTGAACTTCCTCCTTAATTACTACAGGCTCTTGCTCATATGTTATTTCATGAAATTCTTCTGTGTCTGCCAATTCCTTCTGGTACAGGAACTCTGTAATACTCCTTCCATCTTCTTTTAATGCTTCCTGAAAAATTTAATATTCTAGCTCCTTGGACAGTTCCTTGTAATATTTTACATTGTGTTCCCATGCTGCCCTTTGAAATCTTCTGTTCAACTCCTTAATATCTTGAATTTTTCCCTTTGCTTTGGCTTCTCAATGCTCTACTACAATATTCAGAGATCCTTCTGACATCCACCTTGGGCTTTTCTTCCTCCTCTGTCTTTGCAATGACATGTTGCATTCTTCCTGGATGATATTCTTGATATCCTCCCCAGCTGATCTGGTCTTTGTTCATTAATGTTCAAGGCCTCAAACCTGTTCCTGAGATGGCTTTGAAATTCAGGTGGGATAGACTCAAGATCAGATTTTGGTTCCTGTGGACTTGATTTAATAATCTTCTTATTTTAAGGATACAAATATAATCCATTTTTTTTAATATGTAAAAGAATACATTTTATAAAAGTTAGTTTTTCTGTGTGTCTTGTTACACAAATGCCCTTCAGACATACTTTTTTACATGGGAGCTGCACTTTGCTTTTGGTGATTTTGCCTCATTTCCTCAGGATGTCCTCATGGAACTCAGCTCACTGTTCTTTGTGCTATATCATGCTACCATTCCTATGTAATTCATTCATAATTATGTCTTAAATTCATTTAAAATTTTGTACTAGCTTTTCTTAAAGCAAATATACTAAATAATAAATACACTAATTTACTAAAGCATATGTCTTTGAAGAAAGTTTACTCATTAACCCTCTTCTAAACTTTTACTTTGAAAGCAAAAAACTCAGAAAAGTACTAATCGTTCTGTATTTATCAAGTAACTAAGGTTTATTGAGGGTGAAGGCTCATCAAATTTGCAGAGCCAACATCCTCAAAGCTAATAGTTTGTCAATAAATGCATGCATAAATGAATAATAATGAATGAATGAGATATAGCCAAATGAATGTATTTTCAAATTCAAGACACTACTTTTTACAAATTTCTCAGAGATCTTGATAAAAGCTGATTGCAACCCAACATTAAACTTGGGACACACCCCCTAGAAGCTAAAGAAGGTCACTTATTCCGTGTACACAAAATATTGAGTGCTATAAAAATACCTGTGTTTATGATTCCAGAGAATTCAAGACATTTTATTTTATCTTCTGAACACCATCTGAATTCAGCATCACATTTTCTTTTCTGTACTGCAAAGCATGTTGGGCATTTAAGACCATTGGAACTGAATTCATCAACATTCTTTTCCTCCAGGTCACTTGTCTTAATCTCCCAGGAAGCTGTAAAAAAATTAATAACAACAAACCCCAGAAAATTAAGATGGCTATTTTCCAATGTCAGGCAAATCTACCTATGCTCATAGTGCAGACTCTAGAACCACATCCACTCTATTTACCCTATCCTACTCTCTTCTTCTTCAGGTGGTATCTCCGAATTCATCTACTTTAGCGCTACAGTTAGAGCCAAAATAATCACACTCATGGAGTGAATTTTCTGCTAAGTGAGGCAGACAAAAACAATAAGAGGACACTGTATGTTAGAACATAATACTATGGAGAAAAAGAAAACAAGACAGAAAATATAAAATAGATTTATAATTTTTAGGGTGATCAGGGAAATTCTCATTGAAACGCTGGCCTGAAGTTTAAGGCTTGAATGAAGTTTGAAAATTTCCACAGAGTAATTCAATCTTACAAGTGAAGGTCACAGGATGAGGCACAAACAGGATGCTGAAATAAGGCCCAGTTGACAAGGAGCCTTAAGCTTCTTCTTGATTATGTTCCTCTGGGGCTCTCCACCCAGTGTCCTCAATGTCACCATGAAATTGATTGTTAAGAATGAAAACATGGCTTGACTGTTTCTGTGAAGGATGTTCTAAGACAGAGTTGTTGTTGTTGTTAAGTGCCGTCAAGTCGCAGGCGACTCATAGCGACCCTATGAAGGAGAGTCCTCAACATTTGGGTGTCTTTCATTCTCTCTCCAGGTTCATAGGGTTTCCGGAGGCAAGCTATTACGGAAGTGGATGCCACTCCTGCTTCCAAGCTTGTTTTAATCGAGGAGCTCCTCCCCACTCTCTGTCTGCATTGGGTAGCCAACCATTAACTCATTTGACATTTATTGTTAAATAATTGTTTATTAGTATTTTTTTTTAATGTGTACCATCAAATCAGATCTGACTGGTACAGGAGTAGAATGTATAAAAGTATAAAGGAAAGGCAAAAGCTTACAGAAAGTTAAGAGCATAGGAAAAAGGGAGTAAAAGTCTTACTATTTATCTCAAAATTCTTTTCTAACTATTAAAAAGTGGTTTCTCAGAAGGATAACTAGTAAGATGTGTGTGTACACACACACACACACACACACACACACACACGGAGGGAAGGGGTAGGAACAGGGGTAGACTGAGGGGGGGGTAACCACTACGTTGCAGAGTTTGGTAAGTGGAGAAGTTGGTGAAGGAATTAGGAAAGATCCAGTGGGGATCTGAAATGATGGGGTAATAGTAGCATAGATCAATGGTGACTAGTTTTATAAGACACAATGTATGAGAATGGTCATAAGAAACACAATGGAAAAGAAGAAAACCCCCAAACACTAAATGCCCCAAAATTTATTAAAAACCATAGTTTCAATTTGTTTATATTCTCTACCAGTAAATTTTCTGGACCCTCTTTATGGACTTGCCTCTCCTCATAGGGTGGTAGAGCATGATAGCAAGGGAGTACAAGCCTGTACTCTGTTTTCACTCTGCTGGAAGATGGGGAGCACCAGAATTTCTTGCTCAGACACACTTGAGGGCTGACTGAACACTTTGTAGAGTTGGTGGAAAGGAGAACATGGATTTTAGGGCTTGTATAACCACACACATGGGCAAGAATCCCTTCACAGTGAAGGGGAAGTTAAAGTATAAAGAGAAGGAAGTAGGATGGGGACCAGTGTTAGGATATCTTTCTGTGGTATTTCTTGGAATGTAACTCTGGAAAGTTTGAAAATTTCAGGCCCTCTAGCTCAATTTATCAGGAGAGAGCTGGGCAATCTCCTCCTGCAAGATTTGCTGCCTTTGAAAACCTGCTTGAGGGTCAGCTATGAGTCGGTTCCAAATCGACAGCACATAACAACAGTTACATTAAAGCATATTTGTCTATATAAGAGGATGGAACATTTTTCAAGGTTTACCTTTTAAATATGGGACTATGTGGTCTGTTGGCCTCTATTTGTACCTTTACCTAGGCCCCAAGTAGGAGATGGAGAATGGGAGAGGAGTGTGAAGGATGCTGTGATTAGGTACTGTTGAGTGACTCTAAGAACAACAGATGAAAACTCTCTGCTATGTGCATGACTGTATAAATTAATTGTATAAAATACAATTTTTAAAATGTAAAAACTAATTTGTGCTATCCTGCGCCATCTTTACAAACTCATACTAAAGTTCAATGTTATAGTCACTACCTCATTTTATCTTATGGAGAATCTTCTTCTCTTTCACTGATCCTCTACTCTTTCCAGACGGATATTCTTTTCCAAGGATTAGTGCCTCCTGGCAACATGTCCAAAGTCTATGTGATGAAGTTTCACTACCCATGCCTCTATGGAGCTTTCTGGCTGCACTTCCTTCAAGACATGTTTGTTCTTTTAGCACATCTTGGGATATTCAATACTCTTCACCATCAACCACAATTTACAGGCATCAAGTCTATGCTTAACCTTATTTATTGTTGAACTTTTACAAGCATATGAAGCAAATGAAAACACCAGGCTTGGATGTGAGACAGGATGGGGAAAAGTAAGGCAATGAAAGGGTTAATAAGAACCTTGGAGTATAAAGAGTATGGATAGCAGTCCAGGTGGTTCTTGTTGTTTAGTGCTATCAAGTCAACCACAATTCATAAAGACTATATAAGCAATGGATCTGAACCTTGTCCTATCCTGTTCCATCCTCACCTCATCTTCTCTGACATACTTGAGTCACTGTATTAATCTATCTTGTTCAGAGCCTTCCTCTCTTTCACTGACCTACCACCTTTCTAAGCATGTATCCTTCTCCAAGGTCTGGTCCTTCTTAGCAACATGCTCAAAGTATGTAAAATAGAATTTCATTGTCATTGCCTCCATAAAAGTACTATAATTTCACTTTCTCCAGGGCAGACCTGTTCGTTCTCTTTGCAGTCATGGGGGTATTTAATGTTCTTTTAAAACATCACAACTTAAAGGCATCAATTATTCTGTCATCCTTAGTCACTGTCCAACTTTCAGATGCAAAGCTGGTATGGCTTCGATCAGGAGCACCTAGTCTTTTAACTTATATTCCTGCTCTTTAATACTCTGATGGGTTCTCTGACAGCAGATTTTCCCAATGTGACTTTTTTTTTCTGCTAGTACTAAAGACTGTCAATCCAAGTAAGATGAAATAGTTGATAATTTTAATCTTTTCTCTATTTATCATGATGTTGCTTACTGACCTGGTGATGAGGATTTTTGTTTTCTTAATTTTGAGATGGAATCATATAGAAGGCTGTAGCCCTTGATTTTCTGCAGCAAGTGATTCAAGTTCTTACTGTCAATGAACAAGGTTGTTTCAGTGAACAAGGTTGTTTCTCTACATAATGCAGGCTGTTAATGATTCTTCCACCAATCTCAATGCCATGTTCTTTTTCAAAAAGTTCAGGAAATAAATACAGAGAAAAGATACAGCCCTGATGCACACCTTTCTTACTTTTAATCCATGCAGTGTTCTCTTGCTCTGTTCAGACAATAGCCTTTTGGTCTAGGTCTAGGTTTTATACGAACACAATTAAGTGTTCTGGGATTCCCATTCTTCTCAGTTTTAGCCATAATTTGTCCCAATCCAGAGTCCAAGCAGTGATTAAGAAAATAGTGAAGAGAAAGTATAACAAGTGATTCATGTGGGTAAAAGAAAGCATGCTACTCCTAGGGGCACATTCTTCTTTATAAACACCAACATCTCAAATTATGTGCAGAGCATACAGACTGAATAGGTATGGAGAAAGGATATACCCCTGATGCACACTCTTCTTGGCTTTAAACCATACAGTGTTCCCTTGTTTTGTTAGTACAGTGCTTCCTGGTCTAGGTCTAGGTATTGCATGAACATGGTTAAGAGGTTAAGAGCTCAGTGACTCCCATTCCTCTCAATGTTAGCCATAATTTGTTATAATCCACAAAGTCAAATAGACATTCTTCTGATATTCTCTGTCTTCAGTCAAAAACCATTGTTCACAGGGTCACTATGAGTAGTGGTTGACCTGCCTGCACCCAAGCACCACAACCTTGGAGCAAGAATGCTGTATCTCATGATAACTCAGTCCCAAATCCTGGAACCATTCTGGAAAAACCCATACAGCTTCTTTAGGGTTTTATCTTTGAGACATAGGTAGCCAGAGGCACTTTAACCAGGACCAGAATACGTGCAGAAATTTCAGTTTTGACCTGAGACTGATTTTTCAGAAGGCACAGTTTCAGAAGTTTTGGCAAAGAAATCCATCTTGATTCCTGACTACATGTTGTTGTTGTTGTTGTTATGTGCCGTCGAGTCGTTTCCGACTCATAGCGACCCTATGCCCAACAGCCCTAAACCCTGCTCCATC